ATATACTTTAAGTGATGAATACTCCAGAAGTTATTTCTGTTAATTTACGACGGTTTGTTAGGCTTCAGTAAATGCTGTTTCACTAAATTGATGATCACTATTAACTGACCCAATAGTTCTACTTCATTTGCTCGTTGATATCGCAACACATTAATCCACAAGTGGTAGGCTGACAGTGACTGTCATTGCTACTATACATTACTTTTATTCATAACTGATAAGTCTTGTTGATTGAACGCTATATTCGTTTCCTAAGCTACTTTGGTAACTGGCAAGCTAGAACTACACAGCGACCTGAACATCAGAGAGAAGACGCAAATTATGAGAGTAATACTTTACTCTAAGGTTCATCTTTGTACAGAAAAACACGGGTATTTATAGATGTTAACATTTGTAAAATTAACATAATATTTCGGCCAATCCGTTAACGACATATTAGTCTACTGACCAATAGTAGCACGCCGCATTGGAATTCTAGAATGTTCCATCATGCCCTGATTGGCTAGGACTCTTCGGCTCGTTTAGGGCCTCTGGAGGCTCCGTTGCAGTTCTCAGAAAGCCGACTCAACAATAACAGTATATCAGCTGATAATATAATGATGTATACTACTGTATTTATTCCTAATAGAAAGTGAAATGCCTGGAGGCAAAAAGTTGAGAAAATCGAGAAGAGATGGAACGTGAACAGAGAGTGAATAATGTGGTAACACAGGGACAGTCAAGCCTGAGACATTTGATTGACATTTTCAAAATGAAGTATTTACAGTATAGTTCCGCCTGTATCTCATCTAGAGTTATTGCCGGTTCCAAGCACGGGTAAAGGAGGTGTGTTGGGTATGGGGTTAGCGACCCCATCCCGTTGAAAACTAACTTGCTAAAATGCGCTAATCAGAAAAAATAACTCAAACCGTTTAAACTCAACCCAAGGAGTAAGAAGGTCTTCATCTAGATGGACTATTATTATTATTATTATCAGCTTTATTCAATATAATATTTTTGGTACAATATAGAATTCTCAGCGCAAAGTATTTCAACAAGTTTCCGTTTCTTTCTTCTTGGTCGGTCCTGGCGATAAATATTGAGTGATCCCCGGTTAGATGTAAGCATTTCAGTAAATGAACATCTGAATAATGTGCATTCTTTTTGTTGTATATTGCCAGCAACGAAAATGAGGAGATACAGTCTGGCAGTACTGGGAATCAGCGAAACCCATTGGACCCAAGCTGAACAACAAATGCTAAATACGGGAGAGATGCTGCTGTCCCTCATTAACAAAGAGGAAGGTGCTTCACATACTCAGGAAGTTGCTCCAATGCTTTTCAAAGAGGCACGAAATGTACTTGTAGGATAAGAATCTCACGGATCCAGAATCATCAAAGCATCATTCAAAACAAAGAAGGAGGGGATCACAATGAATATTATCCAATGTTGTGCACACACCAATGATAGCAACGACGACATCAAAGATCAATTCTATGAGCGACTGCAATCAATCATAGAGAAGTGCCCAAGAAAGGACCTCACTATTCTGATGGGTGATCTAAACGCCGAAGTCGGGATAGGCAGCACCAGATATGAAGATATCATGGGACGATATCGACTGGGAGAGAGAAACGAAAATAGAGAAAGATTTGCAAATCTGTGTGCATTCAACAAAATGGTCACAGGCGGCACAATACAGTTACAGGTCACCAACTAGTTGTGGACAAGATGAAACTAGAGCTAAAGAAACACTGGACAACTGGAGAAACAGCACTACCATGATTCAATACAGCCTTCCTACGAGATACTAAGAAATTCATCGAATTCAAGATAGCTCTCAACAACAGGTTCCAAGCCACACAGGATCTACTATAGGAAGAAGAAACTACTATGGAGGACACCTAGAAAGGCATCAAGGAAGCATTAACTTCAACGTGTCAAGAGGTTCTGGGCCTAAAGAAATACTATCATAAAGAGTGGATCTCTATAGAAACTCTAGACAAGATCAAAGAAAGGGAGAACATGAAGACAGCAAATAACAACAGCCGAACACGAGCAGAGAAACTCCAAGCACTAGCTGAGTACATAGAAACAACAAAGCATGTGAAGAAGAGCATTAGAGCCAACATTTAGAAATAAGTGGAAAAACAAGCAACGACGGCGGAAAAAGCTGCAAGAGAAAGAAATATGAAACAGGTTTGTGATACAACGAAGAAACTAGCAGGGAAATATAGTTGACCAGAGAGACCGGTCAAGGACAAAGAAGGCAAGCAATTCACCGAAATTCAACAACAGCGGAACAGATGGGTAGAATACTTCGAGGAACTCCTGAATAGGCCGGCTCCAATGAATCCACCGGACATCGACGCAGCACACACACATCTCCCTATAGATGTCAACCCACCAACGACGGAAGAAATCAGAATGGCCGTCAGACAAATCAAGAACGGGAAAGCAGCAGGACCCGACAACATACCAGCTGAAGCACTGAAGTCAGACATCGAAGTAACCACGAACATGCTTCACCTTCTATTCAAAATGATTTGGGAGGAGGAACAAGTGCCGACGGACTGAAAAGAAGGACACCTCGTCAAGATTCCAAAGAAAGGAGATCTGAGCAAATGTGAAAGCTACAGAGGCATCACACTACTGTCATTACCAGGGAAGGTCTTTAACAGAGTGTTGCTGAACCGGATGAAAGATGCAGTAGACACTCAACTTTGAGATCAACAAGCTGGATTTCGTAAGTATCGGTCGTGCACAGACCGAATTGCGACACTACGGATGATCGTCGAACAATCAGTTAAGTGGAACTCGTCACTGTGCACCAACTTGATTGATTACGGAAAGACATTTGAAAGTGTAGATAAGAGAACGTTATGGAAACATCTTCAACACTATGGAGTTACTGAGAAGATTGTCAATAATATCAGGAACTCATATGATGGACTACAGTTCAAAGTCGTGCATGGAGGACAACTGACAGATGCATTCTAAGTAAGGACCGGAGTCAGACACTGCTGTCTACTCTCTCCCTTCCTCTTTCTTCTGGTGGTCGACTGGATTATGAAGGCCTTGACATCTCGGGGAAAACACATTTTCAATGGACAGCTCACAACCAATTAGACGATTTTTACTTCGCAGATGACCTGACCTCCTATCGCATACACATGAACAAATGCAGATAAAGACAGCCAGTGTAGCAGCAGTCTCTGCATCAGTAGGCCTCAGCATACATAAGGGGAAAACCAAGGTCCTCAAATTCAGAGCGGAGAACAGCAATCCCATCACTCTTGATGGCGAAACTCTGGAAGATGTAGAATCCTTCGCATACCTGGGAAGCATCATGGATGAACAAGGAGGTTCAGATGCAGACGTAAAGGCGAGGATTGGCAAAGCAAGGGCCGCATTCCTACAATTGAAGAACATATGGAACTCAAAACAACTTTCAACCAATATCAAAATCAGAATCTTCAATACGAACGTCAAGACAGTTCTACTGTACGGAGCTGAAACTTGGAGAACTACAACAACAACCATCAAGAAGGTACAAGTATTTATAAATAGTTGTCTACGCAAGATACTCAACATCCATTGGCCGGATACCATCAGCAATAGCCTTCTGTGGGAGAGAACAAACCAACTTCCAGCTGAAGAAGAAATTAGGAAAAGACGATGGAAATGGGTAGGACATACATTACGCAAATCGTCAAACTGCATCACGAGACAAGCCCTAACTTGGAACCCTGAAGGGAAGCGGAAAAGAGAAATGCCAAAGAACACATTGCGTCGGATAATAGAAGCAGATATGAAAACGATGAATTACAACTGGACGGAGCTAGAAAGGATTGCCCAGGACAGGGTTGGATGAAGAATGCTAGTGAGCGGCCTATGCTACTTCACGAGGAGTAATAGGCGTAGGTAAGTAAGTAAGTAAGTGTAAGATTTTACAAATAGATTCTGTAATGTTGTGACCAAATACATTTGGTTGTCCCCACTGGTATTCTTGTTCACTACAATATTGCTAACACTTAAAAAATGAACATAACTTTTACAATCAGCGTATATAACTTCCATGTCATTTTACGTAGCTTGTGAATTGAGAATTGTGGTTTACGTGTACCTGACATTTGGTATCATAAACGCTTTTAAGATTGCAATAACAAAGATTCGTTATGTAGATGAGGTTTATATTTACAATAATTAGTCTATTAAGTTTATTTACACGCTTTCCTTACTATACAAATGTGTCTTCAACATTACATCTAACGAAACTCAATCATGTAACTAATTTGATCTCATTTCGTAATTATGATTTAAATATCACATGTTGTAAGCAACTGACAAGAACTAAACGAAATGTAACGGATTCTGCTAAAATTTTTGTTCTTGTTCTCTTCAAAATGATAAAGGAATCAAGTGCATTGTTGACGAGTGCCAAATAAGATGAAACGGCCGTCCAGTGCTTCTTGATTTTCCAAAACGTTTTTCTCATGAAACAGTAATGAGATAGTGAAAATGAAAACTATGTAATTAGTCTACAAATGTAGTTGTGACGTAATAATTTCATTAATGATTATATAATTGAATGTTATTTACAACAGGTTTGAACTGTTTCACAATTATTTTTAATATTCTCTACCTTTCATTTATTTAAATAAATCTAATAGTAAATGCATTGACGATATTCTAACTCAAAGTCTACAACTCAATCATTTAGAGTATAAGCTCTTCATTGGTAATTCAACAAATGTGCTGTATAGTTCTAAGTTCATTTCAGTGTAGAGAAATACATCGATTGTTGCTGTCGAAAATCAGTGATTTTTTCAATCTTCAACGCAAGATTTACATCGTGTTATGAAAGTGGCATTTAGTTTTATGATAATCAAATATCATGGAATTGCTAATTACGGCCTCTGAACATAATCACTGTGCTTGTAATGAAATCTGTCTTTCAGAAAGCAGATTGGATCAATGTGATACTAAAGAGTTGGACAGATACAATCATGTAAAGAAAACTATTTTGAATAAAATACAGTGAGTATTGTAGCCAATGCACCATCGACATGATAATCTAATGAAAATGTATCCCATCCAGTCAGTATCTTGACCTGCTGATATATATGCAGTAAATGAACTCCCAAATGTTGAAGGATTTGCGGTTGCTCATACTGTGTATTAGACTCGCGTATAGTTGTCTTCGACATACCACTTAATCGACTAATTAGTATTTGTGAACACGATTCATTTAAATTGGAATCTAACAAATCCACAAAATGTCGAATAAAATCCCCATGTCCTAAGTGTGAAAATTGTCTTGTAGCTCTTAAATGATCTAAACAATTATAACATTCTATCAATGTTTCTAATAAATGTTGACTAGTTCGTTTACATACAGTAGATATCATTTGATCAAATGACTGATCCACATCTTGCTCCAACCTTGATTCAACCTTTTCTGAATGTGTAGGATAGATAAATTCACGATTTTTAATGCTTTGTTTTTCTCCATAAACATGAATTAAAATGCTTATCGGCTTATTAATGACAACAATACTATTAGTTTAGTTTGTCACACGAAAAACGACTTATTTCCACTGACGTACAGGCTTAAACAAAGAATTCTTGATATGGATTGTTCAGATGACCATTATAAGTTCATTGATCAATAAAACACAAGAAACTGGAGACGATACTTGACATGAAATGTCACTTCGGGGTCTCCATGAAGTGTATAAGCGAATGCTTCACACGCAAATGCTCCACCTCTCAAACCACGACATATATCATATAAGCTGGCTTAAAATCGAAATCTCGACGAATAGTGCGTTTACCGCGTCTTCTTGTCTGAAATGAAAATGGTTTTCCTACAATGGTAACATGAAGGACAATTTCAACATATGTTAGTGCAAAAGACATCTGTTAGACAGCTGTATTTAAACTTGGTTACAGTTTATCAACAAGCAAAAACCAAACCATGAGCAAACAACATGGAAACCGTTGCATTTGGAAGAGCGTTAAACAAATACACAAAATTGTGAAATACTGCCACAATGACTGAGGTAAGGTGATTATGATGATAAATACAATAAATTTTATAAGTATATATAAATATCACAGGTTGAAATCATGAGTCAATTGAAGCTAGACCACCATGGAAAACCTGGAAGCATTGGACGGCCGTTTCGTCCTAATATGGGACTCCTCAGCAGTGCGCGTGGTGCGGGATCGTGGATGCGCACTGCTGAGGAGTCCCATACCAGGACGAAACGGCCGTCCAGCGCTTCCAGGTTTTCCATGGTGGTCTAGCTTCAACTGACTCATGATTTCAACCTGTGAAATTTCTAAAACTCTCCACAAAACCCATTCTGATATGTAAATATTTCAGAATAATACATGACAAACTAGCGTTACAACATAAACGCAGAAATTGCCGGGGACACAACTATCTACTGAATATAAATAAGTAGTATAAGACACTTTGCAAAAGAGTTATGTGAGGTGAATAAGGTCAGAGAATGTAAAATGGACATTTCACAATCATTTATAAAAGTAATATCGCATGTTTCACAAACTTTTGTCTGAAAAAACGTTCCGAACTTAATCAAATTTACAATATGTAGAAGGACATGACACAAAACGTATGAATGTACAGAGTTAATATAAATGTGTGATTATATGATTTAATTTAAAGCAATTAGTCCCTTTTATAAATTTCGATAGAACAATAAGACGGAGTTGATCTGAAAAATGTGATGTATTTGCGCTACATATTTCGAACAATCTGGTCACACATATACTTGTCAAGGCATTTTTATATGAAAATTAATAAAGGTCAATAAAGGTCAAACAAATAAAAGTACAATTAAAATAACTAAGGGGAGAGAAAGAATAAGAAATTGTCGCGTTATCCTAGGCCATAGAATGACTTAAGGATTACCAAGGTAAATTCAAGATTACGACAAATTGTTTTAGTACACATAAGGGGGGTTTAAATTTACGAACAGCCAAGGCTTCAATAAACTTAAGAATTCGACCTTGACAATTTCTATACAACGTTCTAAATGCTGCATTAATGTTAATTTTGTGCCCCGTCTCAATTATGTGTTTTGCTATCGATGAACTTGGTTTTCTACCTCCTACATTGATCGGATCATTTGACACACACTGATTTTGAAGCCATCAAGGCACATGTTCATTTACTCTTGATTACAATGTTCGATTACTCATCCCTATGTATGTGTCCACACAAACATGTAAATTGGTACACACAATGGGATGTGACGTAATCATTAGTGCATTGTTTGGGTCTATTAGGAATCATGGCCTTAGACTTTTCAATCACTACCAACTGAGCAGCATAATACGTATTCTCAATGGCTCCTTTCAATCTCTGCCTTAAAACTATACTGCTTAATTCGCCTCTATATGGTAGATTGATATAAACCTTTTTCTTTGGCACTGAATAAATTAGAGGTCTTGGCATTAACTGACTTTTGCACCTATTAATAAACTTGAGTGGATAACCATTTGCAATTAAAGTGTCAGTCAGTAACTTTTCATCTTTTTCCACCATATCAGAGGTACATATTCTTTGAGTCCTCTTAAAGAGGCACTTAACTAGACCTCTCTTTTATTGCAATGGACAGAAACTATGGAAATTTAAGTATTGTCCCGTCCAAGTTGGTTTCCTATACACGGACCGTCTAATAGCGCCATTATCCCTTCGACTTGAAAGTATGTCTAGAAAGGCTAATTGACCATTACTTTCTGGTTCATGTGTCATCACAATATCATTTTGAACAACATTGAGTTTATCCAGTAATCGGTAAACATCAAAATCCTTATCACATATAATTAGAATATCGTCCATATATCTTCTGTATAGAGTTGTCTCACCAATGAGGTCACTCGTCATATTTTCCACATATGACATCAATACCTCAGCTAAGAGAGGCCCTAAACGGCTACCCATAGCTACACCATCAACTTGTCGAAAATATTCACCATCAAACGTAAATTGAACATTAGCTGTACATAATAAAAGTAATTCTTTCAAGGTAGTAAGGCAGAGTAGAACAGATGTTTTAATTCTTAGAAGTCATACTTATATTCAGTTCATGCTTACTATCCGAAAGATGTCCGAAAATCGCACTTATATAGGCATTTATCTCGTCCAGCCGTATGGTCCTAGCAAGGAGTTCAGAAACTATTTGAATAGTGTTGAGGCTTCTTTGCTGTGCCATCTTTATTCTTGAATCTCTACATCTTGAGATCTCATCTCTCTTGAACAGAAGATGGATGAAGATAGTATTTTACTAACAGCTGGTTGTTTGCCATCTTAAGGGTTTTATTTTCCATAGTTCTTGATTAATTTCTTCGGGTAGTCGCTTTTTATGAGGTTCTTTTCTAGATTAGCCAATTACCCATTTATTCTATTATTTAAACATAAAATTGCAGAACAATTAAAATGTGATCAGATCAGACATCATTTCGAACTGATAAGGCGATATCTGTTATAGAATAACGACTATGTCGTTCATGTTTCTTCCTTCGTCAATGGTTATTACATATTTATCTTAAGTAAACGCGATAATATGTAAAATATCAAAAGCATTTATAAGATGTAATCAACACAACTATTTAAATTACTAGCAGTACAATCCAGGACTCGCGTTTTGTGACTTATGGCAATCCATACAATATGCACATATGACAATAAGAGATTGGTCAATTGAAATCCAAAACATCAATAGGAAGATTTCAACCAGCAATACAAAATATAAATAGTTTACATCTCTTATTTAAGTGGATTGAATAGATTTGAAAATGCATGTAATTCAAGTAATTTAGCGAATGAGTCCAAAAAGTGACCAGATTAACATCGCTGTTTGTTATGTCGGAATATCTTATCACTAATACTTGTAAAGTGATGACCCACTGCACTTCACATGATGCGAGAGTAAGAACACAAAGACTAATAAAAGTGAAGATTTATTAACCCTAACAACATTCACTTATATGCTGATTTGTATACACATTTTGATTAATAATTAGGTTAAAATCACACATATGAAAAATACTTACGGTAATAAATCACATTTTACATTTCATTATGAGTATAGTTCATGTTAACTCAATACAGGAATATCGTATGTTATACAGAACAAAATATCACAACGGGAAATAGAAACAGAAACCACATTGAGTAATCATCACATTGAATTGAAAAACGTCAGTCAGCTACAACGTAGGACCAGGCATATATATGTAGCGGTCCAAGTTGGCATACCACATTAACATCAAACAGAATTAATGTAGAACAAAAATCATAATTAGTAAGTTAACCTAATTTTAACTTTCCATCCCGTCACATCAATCACTTCTTGTTATGTGTGGTGTGACAAAGCGAAGGTGTCAATCAAATCAATTGCCATAGTTTTTTTTAGATATCTGTCATTTCATATTACAGATTTGATTTAGCAGGTGATTAATCACTAATTCATGACATGACTATTCTGTTATTTTGATAACAGTTCCAAAGAGATGCATCCAATAAACAGTAACCGACGTGTAAGTCGTGTGGAAAATACTAGTTGTAGTTTCGCTGCGTTAAAAGTCCTTTGAATTGATCTACGACCAATAATCACTTCGAGGTTGCAAAATAAATTACCTAGACTAGCCACCTCCTTCTGTATCTATCAATTCAACTCCTCCTGTGGAGCAAGTTATATTGGCAGGTGTTCTAGGAATTTGAACATTCGGGCTCGTGAGCACCTACCCGTGTGGTTAAGCAAAGGTGTTGTCAAAACTGTTAACAGCTCCATCTTAGACCATTTAGTCCAAACAGGACATACAGCCAACATGGAGCAATCTTTTGCAATAGTTTGTCGTGTCAACAGCAGTCTACCTAATTCCGTCAGACTGCGAATCCTACAGACGGCTGAAGCAATTGCTATTCGGATCAAAAAGCCAGAGCTTTGTTATTATTGTCTTTACACTTGATAACCCCTTTTTGAGGGATTTATTCAATATCCACCCCTGAATCTACTATATTTGACCTAATCATTTTACATATTACGCAATTTCCGATTTGTAATCACAATATTCTCTCTCTCTCTCCCTCTCTCTTACCCCATGTTGACCATATTTATTCTGATCATGATTTATCTCACAATTTCATTTCGCTTATAAACTGATTCAAGTTAACAACTTCATATTAGTCAGCCCCAACATTAACGGTTTTATTTATATAACAAACAATTCCTGATTCACATATTACAATTTCCAAATGATGGTGTACTCTCTGCCTTAAATCTGGCCAATTTTATGGATTATTAATCTGGATTTATAATTGTAGAACCTGATGAGAAATTATTGAAAAGAATATTCTTCGTTCATACAAATG